CCTAAACCCTAAACCCTATTCCTTTCTCAGAGCTCCCAGGAGATGGCTTCATTGGACTCCGACTTCCGAGATGCCATTGAGTCCAGCAGCAAGGCTGTTCAGTCCTGTTTAGAGTAGAGTTTAGGGTTTGGGGTTTAGGGTTTAGGGTTTGTTGCTTTTTAGGGTTTAGGGTTTAGGGTTCTTTAGGGTTTTGGGTTTGTTGTTTTTTAGGGTTTTGGGTTTTGGGTTTTTTTAGGGTTAGGGTACACTTGTACAAGGTGTTTTGGAGGGTTGAGGGGAAGGAGCTTGATTTGTAATGTTTTGCACTTTCTTGACTCCTGGGATGCGTTGAGGTGACCATCAAACCCAAGAAAGCGTAGGCTTTGGTCCTTGAGTTTGCTCCCTGAAGCCTACATCCCACCTAGACCCTCCAATGCAAAAACTGTGCCGGGCGCCTCATTAGAATGCTAGCCAAAAAACGTGCCAAGCCCAAAAAGGAAACTAGATGTGAGGATCCCGGTAAATACGCCCTGAACCCTACAGTCCTTATAAACGATGCCATGCATATCCCCATATGCCCAGGTGCATTGCAGGATCCAGGCAGTCCACCCTAGGAATATCTAATATTAGGTGGGACGGGGGGGGTGTAACATTAGGGGAGGGGATTAATTAAACCTTATAGCATAACCCTAAACCCTATTATACCCCAAACCCCAAAGCCCAGGTAACTGGGGCGATGCGAGGCTCTCTCGGCTTGCCAAGACTCTCAGCAGGTCAGGCAGCTTCAATCGCTGGGCCAGCATAGAGCAGAGCCTCACTGAGATGTTTAAGGGTTTAGGGTGTAGGCCCTCTTTAAGGATCTTGCGACTTGCCTTCTTCCTTCGTAATTAGGGTGTAGGGTTTAGGGTAGTCTCAGAATTGCCCTTCTAGACTTCTATAACATCCTTAGGGTCCCTGTGCATGTCTTTCTTCCTTGCCTGCTACTTCTGGTAGTTACTGAGCATGGAATGGAGGAATGGATATAGAGCCCTGATGGATCCCCCCAACAGGAACCTACAGATTATTAGGGGTAAGTCAATAATTTCAATAACCTTCAATCAGCCCGAAATTCCCTAAGTACCCCTAATAAGGCCTTGACGGTCTTTTATTGTGGGTGATTTTTTGGAGGCAGTCCAGTGTAAACCCCTCACATATAGTGGTCACTAAGCCGCAAGACCATCTTCATGTTCTTTTCCATTCTTTCGTCCTCTGCTAACCACCCGCAACGTCCCGAATGACACCTAAACCAAAACTGTCTACTCACCCTAAACCCTCAACACCAAAATCTAAGTCCTGAGCCCTCTGCAGGAGTTTCTCAAAATGATCCCTCCGCAATCCTTTGTTAATCCGCCTAACAATTTTCTACATCTCCCTGAAGTCCCTACGAGGGCACCGTTATTAGGGGGGGATACTAGGTGTTTAGACCCTAAACTAAACCTTAAATCCTAAACCCGAAAACTTAAGCCTTGAACGCATGTGAGCTATGGCCTAAACTCCTTAATGGGGTTACATAGGGGATTATATAGGGGACTAATATGGGGGTTGTTCGGTGGGATACTGGGAGTTTAGACTATAGGTCACATGAGAGGAACCTTGCCACAAGCTCCGAGCTCCTTCGGCCATCAAGCTCCGTGTTGGATGTGCGGGAGCGCGCGAGACCTGACTGCAGTCTTGATTTAGACAGGGCTTAAGGTTTAGGGTTAACTTATTATGAAATTCAAGTGGAGTAAGTCGAGTTCTTAATGGGGATACGGTAGTAGCTTTTATAAAATTCATTGAAAATGGAGAGTCAAATGGAAAAAATAATGAGCGTGAAAGAGAAGCTGGGATATGGTGGAGTGGGTGATAAATATTTTAGATGGGGCTACAATAGTCTGCAACATAGAGTAAGATGAACTTCCTCCTTTGGGTAACAGTATCTTGATAGGCAGAATAGGAGACACAGGCTAAACTCCTTAAAGAGGGCTATATGGGGGCTCATGTAGGAGACTCCTATACGGTTATTAAGGGGGATACTAGGAGTTGAGATTATAGCTCGTATGAGTTTGTATGATTTAACCGCCCCCTACTCACTTGGAGGTTTCTCCGAGTTGCTGGCCTCTAGGACACTATGGATATAGGGGTTTAGGGTTTAGGGTTCCAGAGTCCCCCTCCGCCCTCCCTACAAAGGATTCCCCCACTGACTGAAGGTTAAACAAGGGATATACGGAGGGGATTAAACAGGGATTATTGCGGGGATCCATTCCCCATTGTTACTTTTCACCAGATCAGGAAGTTTGCCAAGCTGCTGAAGCCGCACCTGGAGATGCACATGCTTGTGCTTTCTTACATGCACAGAGCCGCGCAGGGTGGCAGACATCAAGCGCGCGTGAGGAGGACGCTACAGAGGAAAGCACAGCGTGCAGCCCGCCTCATCCTACCTGACTTAGTCTTACTTAGCGCAGGGAACCGGGATGTCTCTGTGTCGCGGGCCGCAATGACAAAGGCTGCTCTCAGCAGTCCATTGCTTCCAAAGCCCCGTGACACGGCGTGTAGTGATCTTTTAGCAGCAGATGGTTTCGAGTTTGAGTACCTGGTCCTTTGCCTGTGGCTTCCCCTAAACAAGCTGGCTTCCAAAACCTATGCCTCACCCTTGCATGCTCCGAAGAAAGTCCTGGTCACCCAGACCAAGAAATCCAACTATACGATTCTCACCTTCAACGGTAAAGACCAAGAGGGAAGCACCTCATACAGAATCGACGGCGTGGAAGGGGATCAAAGTTCCCATCTCGAATGCAATAAAGACTCCGACCACATGGACTCATTGCATTTCGCTACTTTGGCTTCCTCCTTTGGCAGAACTTCTCAAAGAACCATGGCCTGCAAACTGGGTTGCTGTCAAGGAACTGAATTCATTTTGCTTACCATCATAATGTGGACAGAAAGTAGATGACACGGAAGTTGCCAAAAAACAATGGTCCCGTTTTGGGGTACTGCCTATTATAGTATGGAAGATAATGTTTAGGTTTCAAGTTTTTTTTGGAGCCCCCATATGTTTTCCGCATTATGGACATGGCTCGTAAGATCTTGTGTTGGTGCTTCTTACAATTTCTTTAACAGGCCTCATGACTCTTGCAGTGCTTCTCGTGCTTTCAGCCCTTACTCTTGCTATTCTAAGGACAACTTGTCAAAGTAGTGGCCGTGCAAAACAGTAGCAGTCTTTATATCAGTCATTATCAGTCGCGCTGTGCTTATGGCCACACTTCTGGCTTTACTCATTGCAAGAGGAGCGCATGGCCCGAAGAAAAAGATGATGACGAAGAGAGTAAGTAAGCGGCTTTGGCAAATTTCCGATTTAGTATGATGTAGTCCACAGCACGCAATGCTTCTAGTCCTCATTATAGGGATTCCCAAAAGTGTGCCCATAATTTGGGGAAACCCCCACATACCACCAGGGTATCCCAAAGGCCAATTTTTTAGAAAATTCCGCCGGAACGAATCGCCGGAACGAATCGCGACTGCTGGAGAGCGATGCGCGTGCAAGCTGACTGGATTTTCAGCTGGTTTAGGGTTTAGGGTTGTTGCGCCTACAGTTCCTTGCCCGTGTTGAAAACGTTGAACTCTGAAGCCTTCACGCAGACATAGAAGCCTGAGTAGGTACCGATGTTACTCCTTCACGTTGCTAATACAGCCATATATGCTCCCAAACTGGATTCGAATCAATCAGAACCTACGTTCAATTCTGAGGTACACCTGATACACCATTCTTCTAGTCGTGCAGGCCCCCAAACCCAGCCACATGTATACATACACATATACATATATATGTGTGTATGCCGCATAGAGCCATATTTGTCATGTGCTAGGAGTGGTCGCGTTCTGTGCACCGAATCAAGCCCATTATCATATGGCGTTTATGACTCCAGGACTGGTTTAGGGTCTAGGGTTTGGGGCGCTTACGAATCCTGGGTCTGGGATCAGGGCTGAGGGTTTGGAGTTTGCGCTTTAGGGTGTCCACGGCGGAGGGCTTAGCGCTTACGTGGGAGATTGTTTCCCGGAAAACTCATAGCACTTCAGCATCGGCAAGTGGAACGAAAGGACAGTGATGGTAGCAATACTTATGGGAAAAGGCTTGTGCTGGACGTACAGGGCTCCTGTAGGGGCCTAAGTAACTAGCAATGGCGCTAGCCTCTGCATGACGGTAGCGGATACACCAACAGACCTCAAAGCAACATTGATAATTATAGGGACCTACATTATTCAAGGCTTGTTGTTGTTCTCCGTGCTGAGCTGTGATGGCAGGACTTTGCGTTGACTTCGTGAACCTCTTCCATCAGCACTCGATTGGAGAACTAATAGCCGTGGAGATGCCGAAGGTATCCCAGAGTAAAGGGCCAACTGACATCATCAACAGCACCTGCCATCTAGCATACAGCTGCTGGGCAAGACTTCAATGTTCAGTTTTGGAAAGCAACAATGGTGGACGCCATCATGATGTAGCAGTCACACGCCCAAAGGCCCTAAGCCGGGCCCTGGTATGCTCACAATACGGCGTAGGCTCTTGAACATCCATCCAAGACGGCACTCAGGATGGTGGACATCAGGGTCCCTTTAGTTTAGGGTTCAGGATTTAGCACAAAGGGTTTAGGGTAGTGTTTGATCTAAATAGAACAGTAGTGAGCATGAGGCGGAAAGTTGAGACCGTAAGCATTTGCTCCTTGCATAGGGGTGTTTGGGCGGTTGAGTGCGAAGATTTGCATCTAAATCCAGCCCTCAGCAAAGGATCTGTGCGCAATTCTGGTTTTTAAACGGTTTGTATAAGGGTTGTATAGGATTGGCTACTTAGGGTGAGCTAATTAGGGGTTATATAGGGCCATATAGGGGTTATTCTTGGAGGCCTAGGTTGGCTTTCACTGAAACCTGTGATTTCGTTACTATTCACTTACAGTTTCATCAAGTGACATGCTACAGAAGCCCATCTTCAGGTTGGTCCGGCCGGAACAAATAGATCCCTCCATTAGACAATCTGAGGCATTCCGAAAATATGAAATGATGAAGGCATTTCTCAGACAAATTGAGACCTACCCGTCTCAACTCTGGATTTGCGGATAGCCACAAGCACATGAAGAATGATGATCATTCGATTGCCAGAAAAAATTGAAATTCTGACTTAGGAAGAATTTTTTAGAGAGTATAAATAAGAATGGGAGCGGCTTATCCCAATTATGATTTGAACGATCTTTTTACGGCAGAACGTCTCTTTTTAAAAAATCCTCAAATTTGATATGATTCATCATTCAAAAATCTTCCAAGGTATCATCAAAAATAGATCACGGAATGAAGGCGATTGATGATGATAGATCTATTAAGAAATGGCAATAATTTTCCTCAAATCGGGGAAAAATTGAGAATAGATTCATTTTGATGATTCGATAATAAAGATGGAGAAATATCAAAATTCTATCATTAGAAATATATATATATATAAGATAGTCGTGAATTTGAGAAAGATCTCTCCCAAGAACGATTCATGAATTAAAATGATTATTCATATTGATATAATTAGTTGAGAATTATCTAGGAATATAATAATAATAAAATAAATTGGGATATTAGGCTCATGAAATAATAATATCTTATATTTATTGAAAAAGGCTTTCTAAATAAAATGATGATAATTTATATCGTTGATAGAATATTTAATTTTCTTCTCTATAGCTTCCGAAGATTCTAATTATTTCGATCTGCGTCGTTTGGGGTTGCGGTATGATCTTCTGCTACGCAAATATTTTGCACGCATTCGACGTATTTTATGATATTATAGTTGGGAGATTAGATTATTTTTATTTTATTCTTGCTTCAGAAGTTTCGAAATACATTATTGGCTTTCATTAATATTATTAAAAATCGAAAATTTGCTCGAGATATTTCTAAAATTTTGGGGATTTCTGTAAAAATTTCATATTATGAAAATATTGAAATTACGTATTTTCGTCGGATAATCGGTTTATGTTGAGCCTCTATTCATTTATTTCTTGTAATTTCGTGTTATTTTCAAAATCGCGCTCTCGGTCGATATATTTTCAAAAGTTCGAATTTTTTTTTAAAAAAAAGATGATATATAAATATCGAAATTGCGTTCTCGCGCGGAGCGTCTTCGAAATTTTGGTGATATCTTAAAAAAATGCGTTCTTATTCGAGATATCGTCGTTTTATTTTCAAAGGGCAAGGATCTTGAGAGGTCGTTTTAATATAATAATATAAATTTGAAATAGGATTTTTTGATATTATTTTTCGTAAATTTGAAAAAAAATGATAAATTAAGAAAAAAAACAATAAAATTCTGAATTAAATTATTTCGCTCAATATAGTTCTCTTTCAATCAAATCGCGTTCTTGTGCGGAGTGTGCTGAATATTTTGATGAATGGATCTTTAAAAATTTCAAGATATCTTCGAAATTTATCGTTCTATTTTGATCAAAATCGCGTTCTTATATGGAATATCTTGAAATTTTTGATAAATTGATTTTTGAAAATCGTATTCGAAAATTCGTCGATTCATCTTATTAAAAATGATTTTCTTGAGGATATCTTGCAATATAGATTTGATATAGATTTTGCCGGCTTCATCGTTATAATTTTGATATTTTAAGGAAAGAATTCTATCTCAATTCT